AGATTATCTGAACCATTCTTCTCAGGGCCCCCATCACCTCCTTGTTTCTCAGGCTGTAAATGATAGGGTTGAGCATGGGAGTCAGGATGGTGTAGAAGACAGCCAGAACCTTGTCCTCTGTTGGAGATCTCAGCGATCTTGGGCGTAGATAAGTGTAAGCAAAGGGTACATAATATAAAGTCACCACAGTGAGGTGGGTGCTGCAGGTCGAATAGGCCTTCTTCCTCCCTTCTGTTGAGTGCATACGGCAGATGGCAAGGAGAACTCGGCCATAGGAACATGCAATGCCAATGAAAGGAAACACAAGGAAGAGGGTTGTGCTGACAAACACTGTGTACTCATAGACCCAGGTGTCCATGCAGGCCAGAGTCAACATGGCCGGGACATCACAGAAGAAATGGTTGATGGTCCTGGATCGACAATAAGGGATATGGAGGGCATACACAGTGTGGGCACAGGAGTTGATTGAGCCCATTATCCAAGACCCTGTTATCATCAACACACGCACTTTTTTGCTCATACGAATGGCATAGTGAAGAGGAAAGCAAATAGCCACATAACGATCATAAGCCATAGATATCAAAAGTAATGTTTCTGCCCCTCCTAACATCAAGAAAAAGAAGCTCTGAACACCACACCCAATGAAGGAGATAGACTTGTTTCCAAGCACAAAATTGGAAGCCATCTTGGGGACAATAGTGGAGATGTAATTTAGGTCAATGAGAGAGAGCTGACTAAGTAAGAAATACATGGGTGTGTGGAGACGGGTGTCTAGGAAGATGAGTAGAATCATGGACAGGTTGCCAAACAGAGCCATTAGAAAAATGAGAAAAAAGAGAACAAAAAGGAACACTCCAAATCTTGATGGTGGAAACAATCCTAATAAGATGAAATCAGTTGATGTTTGAGTATCATTTTCCATGGTGCATTGATGTAATTTTCCTGAAGGCAGATAGAAGGCAGTCAATTACAGAACAAGAAGCTCTTTTCAGTTGTGTAGTATTTAAAACCTTTCAGTTTTAAGTAAATAATTTAACGTTTCTATTTTGCAAAAAAATTATTTTTGACCTAGAGAGTAAAATTTGAAGATGCAAGCATTAGTAGCCTAAACTTTGCTAAAAAGTCTTTAATGCTATCATAAAAACATAGTTTCATTAAGAATTTATTAGGATTCATATAGTTTACTTCTGTAAAGGTACACAAAATTGCCAAAATCAAATCTTTACTCAAAATACATGCACATAAAATCATTGTAATAGCATACATTGTATAGTTATTTCATGACTGATATTTAGAACCCAAAATGAATCATTTTTCTTTTATATCTAAGACTTATCTCTAAAACTGGAGCAGCCTATCAGCTTACGTGTAAGGACAGCATTTCTTTCCTGAGTCCTTTTTGCACAGTAATATCAAATCAAACATCCTTGAAATCAGGTAACACTATTGGGTTCATATGTTCTGAAATCTTGAATGAATACTTGATGTCAAGTACTATTTATACAGAACCCCTCTCTTCTTCCTCCTCCACCAGTTTCTGAATGATTCAGTTAAAGTAGACCCTTCAACTAAATATGTATATACCATATTCATAGTAGGTTCAAAAATCTGCTAGTTTCCCAATATTCATATTTTATAAACATTTCTTATATATTATCAAA